AGCACCGTAATCCTGCTTACAAGGACCCACGAGTTAAGGCACCCCGGATGAATCAAAGAAACCAGCATTAGAGGTAGCCAGAAATAGGCACTCTGGTATAGATTTTTTTCTCTCCTCCTTCCACCATCATCATCGTCATCGTCCTCCTTCTCCTCATCATCACCGCAGCCAGAAGTAGAAGAGTTGAAGCACCGCTGGCGGTCGGCACTGCAAATACCTTTCGTGGGTTTGCTGCAAGGCGGCCAAGTGTAGCAAGAGCAATTCCAATGTTCATGGCCGAGGTGAAAGTAACAGTCAGAAGAACAGCGAAAATTGCAGTCCAAGCGTGGTCGTTGTCATGGTCGTTCTTGCTGCGGTAGTCGTCATCTTGACCGTCGTCGCGGTCGTGGTCGCCACAGCGGCCGCCTTCGCTGTGGTCGCTGTCGCCCTCCTCATTGTCATCGTCGTCATCCATCGGCATTGCAGGATGTCTCTGCTAGACGCAGATACTGTTGACGAAGGCATTCATACAGTACACCTAGCCATCGGCATGCTCTCCTCTTCTCTCCTTTTCGACCAGTGCCAACATCAGCAGACGACGGCTTCTAGCACCTCTGGCACCTCTACTCCTACTCCCGCTGCAAGTGCAGGTTACGGGTCTTAGCTGTTTAAGCCCTAAACCCTAAATCCTCAACCCTGAACCCGCAACCCTGAACCCGCAACCCTGAACCCTGAATCCTGAACCTTGAACCCTAAACCCTCAACCCTGAACCCTAAACCCTAAACCCTAAACCCTAAACCCTAAACCCTAATCTTCAGGGATCTTCCCTGGCCGAGCACATGGCCATTGGAGGATGGCTGCTTCCAGAGGACAGGTTCGACGCACCAATCAGGTGTAGCTTCGAGGGGCTTAGGGTTTTGTTAAAGAGACCATGGTCTTCTTAGATAATTATGTTTTGTCTTTGTTCATGTAAAACCCAAGGGAATATTAAAAATATTGGTTGTATTATGGTTCTAAGGGGGTATAGGAGAACAGCTAGCACTTCTCCTGGTGCATGACCGTCACTCCACATCTTAGCTACAGGGTCTCGCTGCCATGGGCCCGAGGAAGTTGGTCATGTAGGAACCTGATTAAGAAACCCCGGGCCTATAACACCCCAAATAGTAGGGCTCATAGAAGGAGCCCTTAACAAAGGCCCAAGGTTTCTAAATCAGGTTCCCCCAAAACACTTATAGTACCCTTATAGTACGTTTAAAGGAACCGACATAGAACCCTAATAAAGGCCCAAGGTTTCTTAATCAGGTTCCTTCATTATTATAGTATCCTTATAGGGCCATTTTTGTAGCCTTTATGGACCCCTTCAAAGGAATCCTAATAAAGGCCCAATTTTTCTTAATCAGTTTCCTGCATTAGGTCAAGCCCTAGACTCGCTTGGTAGCGCCGAGCCCCAGCTGAGGGTAAGGAGAAGACTTCAGCCTCTGCAGCACCCACTGGTGAAGACGTTTAGTAAACAGGCCTTGCCGATCGAACTGGAAGTGTGTTAGGGTTTCGGGTTTAGGGTTTGGGGTGCGAGCTTCAGCTGGTTTTGAAAGCCTCGCCCGAAAACCTGGAAGCTGTTGTACAGGATGGACGAGTCTGACGATGAGCTCTTCTACAGCACCTTCCCTAAGAACTGGGCCCAGGTGAATGTGGCGGGCGAGTGACACTGCTGTCTCGTCTTCTGTACCAGCTTCGGGGATTTACTGTCCGAGAGTTTGCTAGTATCCGGTCTCACTATTGACAAAGACGTTTTTTGATAATACACATACATACCTGCATACATACATACATACATACCCCAAAACCAGCAACCCTAAACCCTTGACACCCAAAGCCTAAACCCCAAATCCCAAAACCTTAAACCCCTAAACCCAAGCGAACTGGGAGTTTCCGAAATTAGGGGTACCTTGTTTGGGGTCCCTTTAATCAGGCTTTTACTATTTGGGGTACTATGTTAGGGTCCCCTATTTTTGGAAACTCCCAACTCGAGGCGATCCGCGGCTTGTGACACACATCGACGACACCGCCATCGGCCTCTCGACGCAGGTAATGTGGAAGCCGGAATGATTCCTAGGGCATGATGCTATTTTACTAATGTTCCTCATGATTATCAGAAGAACCCTGTAATAGTGTAGTGTTGTTAACTATCAGTATAGTACTATTTTGAATGTTCGTTGTCATGACTGTAATCCTTTGTTTTTCTTTAGGGTTCCGTGCCGTCAGCATAATGCTATTCTTGATGGCGGCTCAGTATCTATTGCTCAGGGCTCCTGGTTATCAGAATAATCCGAAGGTTTGGGTTCCCTGCTACCAGCATGTTACCCAGAGAGCCCAATATCCTTTAATTAAGGAACATAGCTTAAATAATAATATGAAGCTCCTTATAATTTAAGGTATATTGCTTAGTTAAGGGGTATTGGAGCCCCCTAAACCCTAAACCCTATAGATCCCCTATAGATCCCTTTTAGATCCCTTAAAGGAAATCTAGGTATTCCGAAATTAAGGGGTATTGGGCTCTCTGGGTATAGTGGGCCACAACACCCTAAACCCTAAACCCAAAATCCTAAACCCTAAACCCTGAAACCCTAAACCCTAAACCCTAAAACCCTAAACCCCTAAACCCTAAACCCTGAACCCTAAAACCCTAAACCGCTATTTAAGCATGAAGGCACTTGAACACATGCGCCTACGTCCCAGGCGCCAGAGTCCTCCTATTGGGTTTAGGGTTTGGGGTTTGGGGCTGAGGGTTTAGGGTTAGGGGTTTAGGGTTAGGGGTTTAAGGTTTAGAAGGGTTGGGGTTAAGGGTTTGGGGTTTCGGGTTTAGGGTAGCGGCAAGATTTCTTCAAGTGCTCCACATCTAGCAGGGGTTCCTGGTCGTTTTCCCATAGGAGAACCTGTAAAAGGTTTCCTCTGCAGGTTCCCCTATTCCTCTGCAGGTTCCCCTATTCGCCCCGACCACTATCACTAGAGCCCGAAACCAGATGGAGGCCCCCAAAGAGCAAGCTCACACTTCTGAACCCTAAGATTTCAACGCCTATTTGGCCGTAGGGTCTTAAGGTGTAGGGTAGATCCTGAAGCATAAATCCGAGAGAATCGCGACATGCATCAGCTGGGCTCAGACGTAGTTCAGCTGCCGTGTGGATCCTTCTGTTCGACTTGACTTCGCAGGTTTCAGGATCCACGCGGGCCCAAAAACTTGTACAGAGGGCCATGGCATTTTTCTTTTTTGTGTTTGCCCTGCTCCAGTTCGGAGCCGCAAGTCAAATGGCTCAGAACGACGAGGCTGGGCAAATCTTCGCAATGCGGTTTGTTGGTGTGGGGTGTCTGTGCAGTCCGGTCACTCATCAACCTAGACCTCCAGCATCGTTTTCCCGTAGTGTCAGCCATAGTTGCCGCTACTCATCAAAGCAAGAACAGCCCACAGCAGCGGGAGCAGCCGCCACAAGAAGAGCAATGAGAAGAGTAACATGAGAAACGCTAAATTTCAGCACCACTACCCGGTGTTTCATTGATGCAGATTTCCATCAAGATGCCTGCTGGCGTCACCAGGCTTGCCAAGCGACGGGAGAGCAATCTTTGCTCCTACAAATGTCGCGAACGGCGGCTGGCGGAAATGTGAAGGCTCAGCAGGGTTTAGTGTTTCGGGTTTGCGGTTGAAGGTCTCTTCTGGTTCAGGGTTTCGTGTTTCGGGTTTTGGGCTGAAGGGATTCGGGTTCAGGGTTTAGGGACTTTCCGCTTTAGGGTGCAGGGATTCGGAGGGTCGGACAAAGCTCCGAATCCCTCAACCTTCAGCAGATCCCAGGAGGAGCTAAACAGGGCGACGTGCTCCTCGGACATCGAGGTTGCGGCAGCAGGCGGGTCTATAGTTTAGGGTTGAGGAAGAGAATATTCAAAAAATTGCGTTTTTATTCTGGTCCTAAGGGGGGGTAACACCCAAGAGAATATTAAGAATACTATTTTTTTGTGGTTCTAAGGAGGGGTATATGGTTTAGGGGTTGAAGGTTTAGGGTTGAGGGTTTGTTTTGGAACGAAGGGGAGAATTGCACGTGTGGTTCGCGTCTGAAGCGTCGGGCTGAGGAGCTCAAGCAACTTCTTGAGCCCTACACTCTACCCCGAAGCCCGACATTTCTGAACCCTAAGGGCTCTTCGAAAAGTTGTGCGTATAAAAGCACGAGACTCTAACCCCAAACCCAGAACTTGAAGGTTTTTCGGGACTCCGAGTCTCAGAGTCAAGCAAATACATCCGCCCGGCCCCGCATTGAAGGAGTCACTGCGTCATCAAGCGGCTCTAAACGTGGGAGAGGACGTGGCTGAGGCGTTTTCATATGTATCTGAACAGGCAGGGTTTGGAGGGTTGACATGCGCTGGTTTGAATTCTGGACACCGCTGCGTAGCCATCGGATCATCGTAGAGACCCGAATGCTGAATTCGGAGAGCACGCCGGCTAAACCCCGACACAGACACTCCTGCAGACGGTCGCGCTGATAGGTGACGTCGGAGTATGCCAAAATTGCCAATGATACAATCATCTTGGACGAGGACAGCTGTAAACAGTGTTTCTTGGGTAAATGTTCTGCCCCAGCACAGAGGCAACAACTGAAGCCTTCAGGAAGACGGAAGCTGGCTGACAAGACTAGAGAAGATCGGTGAAGCGGTGGTGCTAACTGCGGTGGACGAGATCCCTGTCGCTGCTGGGATGATGGAGGTGGCAGAGGTTCAGGGGTGACATTTGATTCGGGGGGCTCTCAGCCGAGAGCCCCAAATTCCCAAGCCTAGAGAGCATCCTTAGTTCATGTTTCCACACCCTACAACAGGCCCATGCAAGCCCCTGTAGAGCTATAAGAAGGAGTACACAACGTGGTTTTCTGATAAGAAGCCCCTAGACCCTGAACCCTAGACCCTTGTAGTTTCAGATCATCCCAGGTTGGCGGGGTACTGTCGAGCGTTCTCAGTTTGGTCTGGCCATCCACCGACACCGAGTATGATATCTGGGCGCTTATCATCGGCGAGGTCAAGGATCCTGGGTTCTCCGGATTTTGCGCTTTGGGGATTTATGGGATTTAGGATTTTAGGGTTCAGGGTTTAGGCGTCTCGGCTCGAGGCAAGGTAGCGTTCTAGCTTCTCCAACCGGGAGTTTTCTAGGCCGCTCTTGCCATACCAGACCCCAGCAGCACCGCTGCGCTGACTTCGCCCCTCGGTGGGGCCGGTCGTGGCTTGGGAAGCCACTCTTGCTGGAGGCGCTCTCCGGCGGCTCAACAGGGGCACCGCGCTCCTTAGCTACCTCCAACGCTGCCATTTAATTGGCCGTTGTCTGGCTGCTATCCCCGTGGTGGAACCTGCGGGGCTTTTCTTTGTTTATGTCTGCTGCCCGCAATTACAAGCCTATTGTGCCATTGATTGTATTTGGCGCTTGGCTGGTTTGGATCGGGCAGCACGAAGTGCCGGGGTCGGCGGCAACCAAGCCCACCCTGGCACAGGCGCCAACGCAAGGCTCGGGCTCGAGCGAGACTATCTGCCAGGAGAAGGGGTGCCATTGGTCGCGCAGCGAGGGCACTCCTAGCTGCCCACCACGGAAGTATGCCTCCCAAAGGCACCAATGCGGCTACAGCAGCCAAGGAGCCCAGCAAGGGGAGAGGCAAAGACCGCTCAGAGGCCCAGGTCACTCGCATCGATTTTGGCCTCCCTACTTCCATGGTGCAGACGTTGCAATCGATTTCGACGAAAGCAACGCAGGACCTTTGGGGACAAGGGTCTTTCTCGACGGAGGGTGCCACAGTGGAACAACTGGCACAGCGTACAGCCAACACCCTTGGCCGCCTTTCAAAGCGACTCAATGGCAACATGCGAGCCAAGAAGGATCTGCAAGATGCGCTGACGGCCTGGTTCTCCATGATCAGTCAACATCTGCTGGGCCTGACGCATCGTGTGGACGCCCTGTCTCGCAAGGTGGACGAGGACACCGTGGCTGCAGTCGAGGAGCTCTGACATGTATCTGCGGCGCAACCGTCTGTGACGACCAACGAGCAGCTGTCCCGAGCGGAACAGTCCTTGAAGTTCAGGCGCAGGAGGTGCATCGACTTGCTGCTGCCCTGAAGGCCTTCGCGACCACGACTCCCTTGCCTTCGGCTCTACATCCTGGTCCTGGCAGCTCCGTGGCTTTCACACCTGTTGGTGTATTTGGGGCCCCTCTGCAACTGACCACTGCCATGGCACAACAGGTTCCGCCGGGCCCTCCTACAACTTCTGGACCCTCACATTCTGGAGGTCTTTTGGGCGGTGGGTCGGAAGCCAGCTTCGGGACTCCAGGACCCCTGATGGGTCTTGGGCAAACGCAGCAGTGGTGGTGTCGAGCGGCCCTCCAAGAGCCCCCGGCGAGAGCCTGGGACCCCGTGGCCGAGGGATTCGACTGGCCGCACCGCGGAGGCTCCCCAACGAGTTCCAGTCACCGTGGTGGCCGACGAGGGCCCCGAGCTCCTCCCTGGTGCCTTGACGGCGTCTGCTGGGCCTTGGGTGATGGCTTGGACTGCCTTGCTTCGCTTCTGCGTAGACAGTGCCTGCATGCCGCTCACTATGGATGCACAGGCCCGGGAGGTTGCTCTGCATACTGCAGAGTCTACCTGGACTGCCTTGGTGCAGGCTGTTGGCGACCCCGACCAGGCAGACCTTCCGGAGCTTCACCAACTCCTGCAAACGGCGTTGCATTGCATCCGGAGGTGCGCAGATGTTTTGCCGCGAGTCCGGCAAGGGCTTCTAGTGGCGTGCTTGCTGACTACAGGTGGCCTCTTGGACCCCTTTTCGTTTGCACCCTCTACGGCCCAGGAGTGGCTATTTCCCAGTCTCCTACTGGAGGCAGAAGTGCAGCTGCGCGGCTTCATCGCCCGAGAAGCCTCTCAGGACCCACGAGTTCAAGTTCTACTGCGCATGCCTTCTCCGTTCCTTGGATCAACTCTGGACGGGGAACCGGACGAAGAGCTCGAATGACGCCTGGACACGGCCCCTCTTGTACGCGTCGCCACTCCGGCGCTGTCGCACTCAGCCCAGCCGTTTGTGCTCAGGAAGGCGGTGTTAAGTCGCCTCTTTCCGTGATCACATTCGGCCTTTTCCTGGCGTGATACTGTACATGGCCTTACGTAGGGTAGTCGTTGTCACTGAGCGGTTTGTGGCTGCTTATGGACCGAGGTTATCCTGGCACCGCTCCTGGCAGCTCAGCTGCACCCTGTCAGCCACAGCCTGGTGGGTTGCAGCCTTGGTCGGGCCACCGGTCTCCATGTCTGTCTGCGCCTGCGTCAGTGAACTTTTGGCCTTCCTCCCAGGAATCGCCCTGGCTTTGGGCTCTGCGTGCCATGGCTTTGTCGGCACTCGTGGCTGGCGCTCCCGTGTCGCTTCCCTGTGCCCTTCCCTGCTCCTGGGGTTTGATGCGTGGCTCGGTCCTTTCTGGGTGTCCTTTTCTGCTTCTTCGGTGTCTCCCTATCCTTCTGGAGTGGGGAGCACCTGGTCTTGCACCCAGCCTGGGATTTACTGCCCATGCCGCCGTGTTGGCAGAAGCCGTTGCAGGGGTCGCTCCTCCACTCACGTGTCCGGCCGCTATCGCTTTTGGATGGCCTTGTTCTTGGGCTATCTGTCGACTGTTGACGGCTCGACTCTGCAACTTGGAGCCCTCTTAGCTGCTTCCTGCACACCAGCGCCTGTCGCGGTGCAACTGCACGCGCATGGGTTCCACGAAGGACGGCCTGTTCTCAGCACTGGTCCTGTTTTGCCAACCCCCTCGATCGATGTGATGTGCGAGGTCTACCCAGTTGGCCGCACTGGCAACCTGCTTCTCCCCCGCACCGACCGCAACCGCAGGCACTTGGCGGTCTTCGTTGGCACACCACCGGGAGCACCTGTGCTCGAACCGTGCCCGGTTCCTTTGGTTGCACGGCCCCTTTTGCATGCCAGGTTATCGGCTTCCTTAGGGTTTCCGGCCAGCACCTTTTCGGTTTGCCCGGTTTTTGCCTGGGCTTCCAGGGGAGCAACTCTTGCTCTCGCCCGTTACCTGCACTTGGCGTCAGGTGTGGCTCCCGGTTGACCTTAGGCAGCTGAGGCCGTATTTGCATGCTGCTTTGCTCTCGCGATTCCACTTGCAGAGCCATTGCGCAACTCGCAATGACTGCTTGACTGCTCAGGATGTGCGTGCGGACCTGGACCACCTTCTGGCGAGGTGCCAATGGGGTTGGCCTACACTGGCATCCCAGCCTCTATTCCTGCAAGAGGTTGATACACTGCAGTTTCAGACCGGGCCTGCTTTGGAATCATTACAGAGTCCTGTTGGGGCCTCCCTTGACCCTCCCATCTCCCTCTTCTCCGCGATGCAGGTCAGCCTCCCCACCTACCCCGCGGGACCCGAGGTTTTCCAAGGCCGCTCCCATAATCAGGCTCCCAACGGCCTTGTGTACATTGAGGCCCCTGTATATTTCGCTGACGCCGCTACCTTTCGGCGCATCGTTGCCACACAAGCCTCGCCGCATGCCACTGGGGGCGCCATGCGCATCTGGCAGCCGTTACCATCTCTGCCGTTGGTTTAATTTATGGAGGTCCACTGTGTGGGTGATGAAGTGCCGTGCATCTTGGACTTCCGTCCAGTTGGTTGGCGCCTAACCACGGTTTGCGTCGCCCCGCCGGTGACTGCAATCTCCGCAATCAGTGCCGCATCCAGGCGCGAACGCAATTGCATCCCACCGGAATGGGTCGAGCAGTGTTCTAGGGGTGGCTTTGGGTTGTTGCATAGAGAACTGGTGGCGCTGCCTGAGCAGGTTCTCACTGGCAGCTTTCCTCTAGTCCTGATGTTTTTCCCACACGTCTTTCGTCAGGACTCCTCTTCCTCATCTGAAGATCAGGTTGGCGGTTGGGAGGAGCCCGGTACTACTGGTGCCACCGACACTGTCATCTCGATGCAGCACACCTTGCTTCCGTCACCGGCTCGGTCCCAATCGGCGGCTGCCATGCCGGCTTGCACTGGGGTGTCCCCAACCGACTTCCTTAACTCCACTGCTGCTCCTCCTACGGCTGCCGCATCCCGAGCTAGTGTGGAGCCTGCTGAAGAATCGGCTGGGGACCAGGAGGTCTCTCAAGCGAGACATGGTGGCCGTGGCGGCCTTGGCTCGTTATGCTGGGCTCGCAGGTGCATCCTTCTCGCGCTGCTCACTCTCATGCCCTCTCGCACAGTTCACCTGCACAGTGAGCCTGCCTCGCCTCGCGATGTGGTTGTCTCTGCTGCAAGAGCCACAGACCGACGGGTGGCCGCGCCGGCCGGCGTCCACACATCTACAGGAGGGGGATTTTGGCGATGGTCCCCTCTGGACATCGCTTCCCGTGCAGGAGCGGGGCTATCTGATCACCTGCCGGCTGTGGTCACCAGGCACCTCAATAAGGCTTGAATTCTCTGGTTCTGGCTCCGCGCGGGAGGCTGCTGCTGAGGTCTACCGCCACCCTCAGTCACTGGCTGTGCTCTTTGACGTAGGATCTCGGGTGATCTGCGCTGAACTCCCAGTTGACTACACTGCCGCACAGGTCTTGAGTGCTGCACAGCAGGCGGCATCTGCGGGGGACGTGCAGATCCTGAAGGGTTTTGCCCATCGTCTCAGACACGGCGATGTCGTCCGAGTCGCGGTCAACTCCGCTGCCAGCACCTTTGATGTTTCCGCCTTCGTTTTGCCTTCAGACTCAGAAACAGCTTCCCGCTGGCTGCAAGATTCGCGGCTCGTCTCCATTCTACATCCCAGCGACGGCGTACTCACTTTTGAGGTTCCGCGTTCAGCTGTTTTGGCAACCCCGCTGCTCCAGGCCTTGCTTGGCACCAGTGTTTTCGGGAAGCGCGTTTTCATTGAGGTGCCTGGTGCTGATTACCTGCCGCATGCCACCTTTGCTGCTGTGCGTCCGGGACAAGATTGTATCATCTATAGGCTCACTGATGTCTTTGACCCTTCCACGGTCGGGCTCTTCATGGCCTTTGCGGGTGTGTTCTCCTCCTTCCCCGCGTTTCTTGAGAGCCTCCTTCGGAACTCGGGCCCCGCTGCTTCTTTGCTGCGCGCTGTTCAGCCTTTCGGGTTGTCTGTGCTTTCTTGGGAGTCCTCCTCCTTGCCAGGCCGGGAGGATTGTCACTTCTGGGTTGTGCATGCACAGGCAGACTTTGGGCGAGCCCGCAGGCATCTGCTACAGCTGCACTGGCAGCCACCCTTGGTGCGACGTTCTCCGGACCTCCTCCCCCTTCCCCGAACTAAGGTTGTTCATAGTGTTGGGGTTCAAACTAGTGCCCCTTTTCTGGTTCCTAGTACCCAGGCTTCCGTCCTTCAAGCGCCTCCTTCTGCCTGCGGCGTAGGCGTTGTCCCAGACTCAGCTTCCGACCTGGTAAGTCTCTGTGGTGAGTCTCTGGTGCGATGCGTGGCACGTCAAGTGCTTGATCACTTGTATCCCGGGTTTCACAGCCTGGGCTCTCCGAGAAGGTAATAGTTTGTTGGGTATGTGCACTCCGGTCCCCTCGTGGGAAGCTGTGGCCAAAGCTCTTTCCATTTCGTTATGGGAACTTCCGCACACTTTCCTGTCTGATAATCAGCGGGTCTGGCCATATCCCAGCGACCTGTCCACTGTTGCGACCCGCTGCGTTAGCGTTGGCTATGACTCTCATGAAGGTGTCGCCCAGCTCTGGAAGCAATGCCAGCACAGTAGCCCCTGGGATGTGGTGCTTGGTCGGGGCCTTGGCCTCTACGGCCGGGGCTGTGCAGCTTGCCTTTCCCACAACTGACCTTCAGCCCAAGGCTCTGCCCGATGGATGCCTGCTGCCGCTTCGGGATTTTGCTAGGCCCTGTTCTATGTTCTGGACGCATGAGCTGAGCCGTCAGACCTACGGGTTTGCGGTGGCCTCGCCACACTTGGGAGCGTACATTGCTCGCACTTGCCCTACCCATGAAGTTCAAATGCACCTCTGGCTCCCGGGTCAAGGGCCCATCCACCTTCGGGTTGCTGCACAGCATCTTGGTGCCCATCTAGGAATCTAGGAGCTTACTTAGGGGGTTTTCTACCTGCCTGTGAATACGGCCTCCACGTCGCTTTTGATACCAACCCTCAGGTCCTTGATCTTGTCATTGCTCCTCCCAGTGTGGCTGCGTGGTGGATCGTGAGGGACACGATTGGTTGTGAATTGTTGCGACCGGTGGTGCAGCACTATGTATCGCACTGTTCCTTCTTCTTTTGTGCTATTGAGCCGGACGGAGTCGTCTACAGTGTGGAGCCGTCGGCGGAAGTGCGGTTCATGACTCCGCGCTCGTGCCTTTGTTACCAGGGTTCTTCCTGGTCTTGTAGGCCGGGTCGTCGATGGGATTCTGCAGGTTGTAGCTGCCAGAGCAGGCTCGCCATCACTTGCCGGGGGTCTCGTCCTTCTTTTGCTCAGTGGTCAAGCTGCGTCGATGCAACCATCCCAGGATTTGCCCTTAGTCCCAGCTGTGGAGCCGCCTGCTCCGCCCGCTGTCATGCGGATTTGGACTCTTAATGTCCGTCAGCCGGTTGATCTTCCTTGGCGCGCGGAAGGTTACCCCATGCACCAGGTGGCTGCGCGATCTCATGTGCCGGTTACATAACATCGATGATCCAGGCGAGTTCCGGTCCACATGCGGCCCTCGAGGCAGCGGTGTCCAGCATGTGCTTTTTGTCCCACCTATGCCTCCCACAGTCCCGCGCGCTCGGTTCTGGCTCTTGCATTGGGGCGATGCGGCTGTTGTCGCCTTTGGTCATAGCCCGTTCAGCTGGGATGTCGTCTCGGCGCACTTACACACACTCTTTCCGGGGGACAAGTCCCCGACCGTTGCCCAGCCATAGCCTATGCCGGTGCCTTTTACCCACCTGGCGCGGCTCTGCCTGACCTCCCGTCCGGAGCTATTATACAGCTTTTGATGAGTGCGTTGGCCCGTGTTCCCAGTGATGATGACCCTTGGCACCCCGAACCTTATGTAGTGGATGGCCCTTACTTTCAGCATGTCCCAAGCAAGGGCCCTGCTTTGGAGCCGGCTATTCTCATCGATGCAGGGGGCAATCGACGGCCGGAAGGTTTTGTCCCCACTACCTTAGACTGATCTGTCGGGCAACGGTACTGGCCTGGACCACGCCACGGTCTCCAGGGTTCATTCTCTGGCGCAACCTTGCCGAGCCAGACGCGGAGCCTGCTGGCAGTTCCGCGCAAGCATCGAGGACACCAGAGGCTACAGCGTCTGCTGCTGCTCTCCCCCCCCCACATGGACCTCCTGGATATCAGCAGCCCTTCCTGTGACCAGCGTGTTGCGGCTGGTCTCTGGGTCTCCCTTGTGCTTCCCACTCGAGCACCTAGCAGTAGGAAGCCGGCAGTCCTAACCTCTCAGGCGGTCCAAACGGATCCAGTTGTGATACTTGGAGCTAGTGACCGTATCTACCTGTCTGAGGGAGGTGATTGTGTTCACAACTGTGAAACCTGCCGAGGGCTTAGGCAAGCTGGACATGTAAAGTCAAAGAAGGTGTGCCAGTATTGCATCAGAGCCCGCAACACGTGAGTTGTTTTCGAGTTTGTGGCTTTCAACTAACGTTGAAGCCAAGGAGGAGTGTAGAATTCCGGAGGTTGAGTTGTACAGACGGATCACTCCTGATACCTGATGCAGTGCACGGTTCAAGACGTGGAGGGCTGCACACCTTTAGGAAACAGTCAAGGCATGAAGCTGTAGGCTAAATCAAGCCGTATACAGTGTACTGCATGCCGTGGTCCCCGAAAAAGGAATCGTGAGTCTTTGTGCGTGCGCTCATGGTCTGCTGAAGCCACGGAGTTTTCTTTCAGGAGATACAGGCTCCGGGTGCTGGTTAGAACCATGGGTGGAAGAGATGACCTTAATCCCAATCTTGAAGATATGCCTTCTGGTGAGTCTGGAACTGGGAATTTCAGCAGGGAGGCGACAACTCAAGATCAGCACAAATAATGCAGTTTTATACACAATATACTTATATATATATATATGTATATACATATGTATCCATCTGTAGTTGTCGCACCAGACGGATAATTGTATTGTATTTATATATGACAGCACATAAGTCATCATTAGTATATCATCGTTTACACGAAATAGTCTAGGCAGTACATCATATGTAGTACTTCATAAATGGTATACAGTGTAAAACATACGTTCTGGTATGTAGTACATAATGCGCACTCATTATGTCACACGTAATATGTAGCATGTAATATGCAATATTTCGTGCGTAATATATATATATATATATATATATATACACACACATATGTATGTATGTATGTATGTATGTATGCATGTATCTGTATATGTATTATGCATCTATATCTAGATGTATGTTATATGGATACATAGATAGATAGTCAGATAGATAGACAAAGATAGAGGGGTGATGCCGTCAGCATCAGGCATCGCCCCACATGCTCGAGTATTTGCAGCCAGCCGAAGGTGCTTTTGGCCTTAGCCTCGCTGCCGGTGCTGTGCATGTGTGCGTGTTTGTTCGACCACTCCCCCCCATGCCCTGTCTCCAGTGTCCCCAGCCGAGTACTTCGATGAAAGATCGTCGAGTGAAGAGTTTTGTTCCGCCGAAGTGGTGTCTTGCCAAATGTCCAGTTCCAACCCAAGCTGCCTGGCTTGATTCCAGCCCAGACGGCTAGACCGACCGTTTCCGTGGGCCGGAGAGCACCCGAGGTCGACACTCACTCACCTACTCACTCATTCATTATTCAGTCTATACATCTATCTGTATATACATATATATGATTATGTGTGTTGGTGCATGCGCAATAACCATAGTCGCATGGATATTGTATACTTAACTTACATCTACATTTGCAAACACGCGTGTGCATACGAATGTGCGAGTGTATTTATGTCTGCATGCATGCCCGTCACCCAAGCATTCCTGAGCTTTCGATGTCGACCCCTGAACCCTCAGAGGTTTAGGTTTCGGTGTGTAGGGGTTTGAGCTTAGGGCTTCCTAACCCCAAACCTTGAACCGTTCCATGCACTCCTACAGAAGGAGCAATATGACCAGCCCAAACGTGTTCTTTCCTGGCATGCGTCTCGTGCAAACGACCTTCTACGACTTCACACTCTCCGTGTCTGCAACCAGGCGAAAGTGAGATTTCAAGAGCCACTCCGAACATTCTATCCCGAAAGAGCGTCGGAACTATATCCGCGGAAGCATCAGGATTTTGGGTTTTTTTGGAGATGGGGGTCCAAGAGAGTACTTCAATGCTGGAATTGCCCTTCAGAGAGGCAGTATTGATCTTGCGAATGAAGGGTTCGGGATTTTCTGTTTGAGGGTTGTGTTCTTGTTTGAGCCCTCAGATGCCAAGGAGGGTGGCAATGTCGCCTTGAAAGATTGGTCGCATGGGCAGGATCTCTGGTCTACTCGGACATCCTGTGATGCAGCACCGAAGGAGATTCAGCTCAAGATGCAGGCGTGCAGTTTGACTGCGGAACCGTTGTGTTCCTTTTCTTGCACAAGCCACCACTAACTGCAGTATATCTTAGTTTAATTAAGGGCGGTGCGAGTGTTGCCGTTTCTCTCCGGAAACGTAAACCGCCTGGATCCAGAAAACAACATCCTTGAGGAGGATGGCAATCTTGTCCTCTATTGCGATGGGGCTGTTGCCTTCGCCACCGGCACAGCTGCTGGGTTTTTGTTAAGGACGTTAATGTAAGTGACCATATGAAGGATTTGTAACAAACAATATGGTTTCCTTTCTACGGTAACTTAAGTTAAATCCTTTAACACGAACCCAGGCTGACACTTCGCTGGAGGCGGGGAGCGAAGGCTCATCCCAGCACCCCAGACCAGCCGAAGCTGCAACTGATCCCAGAAAACCAGGCATTTTTTGCAGGTAGAAAATGCTTAAACCCTAAGCCTAAACGCCAAAATCCTAAACCCTAAACCCTGAGCCCCAAGCCCGGCTTGGAAGGCTTGGAGGTGGGCAGACACCTGTTGAGTACTAGAGGGGCCTCAATAATTGCCAATACCATCTTGGGGATTTTTTAGTGTAATGAATGTATAATGGAGCCCAAAACCCTATTCTAATTATTAAGGCCCCTAAATTAGGTGAGGCGCTGCTGGTTTGATAATTCAGGCTTGCAGCCTAGAGGGTTTACGAGGCGAGGTTTCGGGTTTGGAGTTTGAGGTTTAGCATTCAAGGTTTACACTTCAGGATGTACGGTTTTAGGGTTTTACGGTTTGGGGTTTAGGGTTCAAGGTTTAGGGGTTCAATCTTCGGGTGTTTTTGCTTTGCGTCCCTCAGGAAGAAGAAGGAGTGAATACTCTCCTGCTGGAGACGGGCGGCAACCTCAAGATCATCAACAAGAGGGGTGGGAACTTCGAAACAAAACCCTATCCCTGTCCCTAAACGTCAAAGCATAAAGCCGTTGACCCTCAACCTAAACCCCAAAATCTAAAGTCCTACACACTAGGTTTTTGAAGGAACGGATGCCGGGAAGCTTTCTGTCGCGAGCCAGTGGAGCGTCCTCCTACTTAGGGGGTTGGGGTTTTGTTTGGTTTAGGTTTTAAGGATCTTAGGATTAGGCTGTAGGACCTAGGGTTTGGAGATCGGTTCTCGGCCAAGCGATGATTAAGTTCCGTGAGGCTTCATTGCCCCACTGTAGCCTAGCCTCCAAATTCATCCCTGCAGGTGAGTCCATCTGGACTTCCGGAACTGAGGTGACTTACGACTACTTCCCGAAAAGCACTTGAGGTAAGCAGAAAACAAGCACCTGACGGTTCATGGGCAACGCAGAAGTTTCCTGTACAGTACGTCTGCTTGAGTTTCTTCCCGGTATCGCAACTGTGCAGTTGGTGCTCCCCATATAGCGGACACCACTGCGGCCTGACGCTTGTGGAAAAAAGTTTCTGTGCTTCCGTGCCACGTCACGGATTGTTGTGTCGGCCCCTTCGCTGTCATCATCAGCAGCATCATCAACACCAACATCGTCCTGAACCTTCACAAGGCATTGTTTGCCGGCAGTCCATTTGCTTCAGTCTTATGCTTACCATCGCTGCGTGTGATGCCTTCTTCTGGGGACAGGGGCCAGGATCATGGTGCTAAAGCGGCTGCACGTACTTCTGCTGCTGATTCTGATGGTGGTGGTGATGCTGGTGATGATGACAATGATGATGAACGTAACTGGTTGTTGTTGCTTGTTGTGGTTGTTCTTGCCGTTGTGGTGGTGGTCTTGGTGCTGCTCTGGGGTCGGTGGAGATGGCAATTTTGATTGCTGCGTACATGTCGACGGCCTCCGCGGCAAAAGCCAGCATCAGCATGTAGGATTCCCTGCCGAAAGCCCTTCTATGTCCCCCCATTAGCATCCTTATGCCCTTTCATGTTGGGTTGTCTTCCTAACGCCGAATGGAGCCCTAACCCTAAGACCCTCCGCATGCCTCTGAGGTGCCATTCGAAACTACTACCGGGGACAATTCTGGGCCGGCGCCGCGGTTTTGGATCTCTGCTCCTCTTGGATCAGTCACTTCCCGGAGGAGCCTGGGCTGAAAGCTTTTCAAAAACAACCCCAGCAAAAGCATGGCTGGTAAACCGCAAGCCTTATTACCTGAACCCTTAACCCCTAAACCCTTCGACCCGAAACCCTGAACCCCTGAACCTTAAACCCCTAAGCCCCTAAACCCTAAACCTTAAGCCGCCAAACCTTAAACCTTTAACCCTAAGCCCCAAACCTTAAACCCCAAGCCCCTAAAACTTAAACCCTAAGCCCTGAAGCCCTGAACCTTAAAGGCCGAAACCCTAAACCCCAAACCCCAAACCCTAAACCCTAAACCCTAATAGCCCGAACCTGAAAGCCCGAAACCATGGTTGCTTTGAGGATCTTCGCCTGGGTCGGGCCGTTGGCATCGGGCTGAACGCCGAGGCAGCGAGAGCCTGGGCTTTGGAGTACCATACTAAACCCTAAACCCTGGGAGTGCCATACTTTAATCCTTTCTTCGTAAAGGAACCATTCATGAAAGAAAAGTTTATACTTTTTTCTCCCGGGTTACTTAAAAGCCAAGAGCCGGCTGAACACCAACACCAACATCAACACCATCACCGTCACCATCACCATCACCATCGTCATAACCACCTTCATCATCAACATCATTACCTTGATTATCCTTAGTGCCACCGTGAGACCGGGGCCGCTGGTACCCATTCAATCCCCTTAACTCTCAGCCCGTACATACAAACCTTAAACCCTAAATCCCAAATCCCAAAACCCTAAACCCTAAACCCTAAACCCTACACCCTAAACCCTAAACCCTAAACCCTAAACCCAAATCCCAAAACTCTGAAATCCCATCAGCCCCGCAAACGCGACCCGACAGCAAAGAGGAGCTCTCGCGGAATCGGCAGCTCACAGAGTGGCTACGGCAGAATCTCAACAAGGCCAGGGTTTGGGGTTTGGGGTTTAGGGTTTAGGGTGTAGGGTTAAGGGAACTCCAACTGGGGCCTTGGGACGATCGGCCTCAATCGGGTTCGTTTTTCTACCCCCATAAAGACATTCAGCAAGGAACGATTCCTTCCAACGAAGGAAGATCACCCTAAACCCTGAGCCCCTTCCCCCAAACCCTAGACCCTAATCCCGAAGCCCGAAACCCTACATACCCTAAACCCCAAACTTAACCCCGAAGAATCTACATTTTTAAGGACTTATATAAAGACATCATAATAAGGAACCTTAAAAAGGCAGGTTATTCAGAGTTAAGGTAGACCCTAAACCCTAGTCTCTTGGCCAAGGAGCTCCCCAACCCCACATTCTTACGGCGGAACCTGGGGTTCTAGCCGTTGCTGTCTCTCACTTTCAGGGAAATAGGGTTTAGGGTTTAGGGCTTAGGGTTTGGAGTTCAGATTTAGGGTTTAGGGTTTTGGTGTTCAGGTTTAGGGTTTAGGGCAGTGTCTATGCTGTCTCAGGCCTTCAGGAAGATGGAGTCATGCGGCCCATGCAGAGAGGGGGACTAAGCTTGGCTTTCAGATTGGGGTGCTCAGACAAAATCATGGTACCCCAAACCCTTACCGTAACCCCGTCTAGGGTTTACGGTTCAGGGTCCGGATCCCTGAACCACAAGAGGAAGGAGAGACGGAGGAAGGGCAACCAGCAGCAGCCCTAGTCCTCAACCCCGAACAAGAAACCTCAAACCCGAGATTCTCTAAACCTTCACTCCGCTAACCCTCAAGGCCTAAATCCGAGACCCTCAACCCCGAAACCCTAAGCCTTAACCCCAGTTTAACTCGCGCAGGATCCCGTTCTTCACTTCGCTGACGAGACCTTCGACTTCGTTGTCAACGTGGCCTCTGGGATGACATAGGAGATTCCGAAAATTGGGGGTACCTTATTTTGGGGTCCTTATACTAAGCATCCTACTATTTAGGGCACTCTATTTGGTTCCTCAATTTTCGGAAACTCTCACAAAGACCTATAAGGGTTCAGGGCCTTTGAGGGTTTAGAGTTTAGGAGTTTAGGGCTTGGAGTTCAGGGCGTAGAGAGTAGTGTTTAGGGTTTGGCGCCTGGTTGTTTAGCAGGATCCATGAGAATTGTTAACGTAGGAACCTGATTAAGAAACCCTGGGCCTATAACCCCCAAAACACTAGGATTCTTATAAGGAACCCTAATAAAGGCCCAAGATTTCTCAATCAGGTTCCTACACTACAAAGGTTCTATGCAGGCTTAATGCTATCGCGAGAACATTATGGCCTCTTTACATGGACTATGGATGGATATTCTGTATAGAGACCAGTACGAAGAAGGTGTTGGGGCATCATGTATTGAAACTCTACGGGCGAAGATTGCTTTTTCAGACCCGCATATGCTTTGGGGGAAAAGGCCTTTAGGATTTAGAGTTTAGGGTTTAGGACCGGTGTAGTCCCTATGTGGGTTGTTCTCTACGCTAAGCTCCCTTTTAGGGTCCTTTTCATATGGGTGGCAAACTATTTTGGGGACCTAAAATGGGACCCGGTGTAGAGAGATTATTCATATGATGTAGATACGCGGAAACCAAACAGACCCCAACAAAGCTGTTGATTAGCTCTTGATGCACCATGAAAGTTTGAAACCTAAGCCCTAAACTCCAGCCTAAACCAGGGCATCGGAGGTTGCCTTCGGAGCACCCGAAATCTTAGACCCTCCACCCTCAGACCCCAAGATTTCTAATTTGTTTCAGGATGTAGGGTTTGGATGGAGTACTTCCAGGGCCTTCAGGGTTCCGATTCAGGGTTTGGGAGACGGTGCTAGAGAGTTTAGGTCATGAGGTTCGTGGCTTCGCAGTTGGTGTTTCGATTTCCAGCCCTTGGCGCAAACCCTAACATCCTAAACCATAAGCCCTAAGCTAAACCTGCGTCAAACAAGAGATCTTCCATGCGCTTCGGCAAATCCTGCCATCTCAGGTGAGTGTCGACTACCTCGTGCAGCCGCTGCAGGCTGGATGCCCACGGGGGTTTATACGGATTCAGGCTTTAAGGATTTAGGCTTTCGGCTTTGAGGAGGGACGCCCTAAGAATTAGGGCTGGGGCTCAAGGTTTAGTGCTCACTTTGGAGGATGAACATGCATGCGCTCCGCATGTTTGAGGCCCGGGCCCAAAAGAGGGTTGATCGCAGTCTCAGCCATGGGATTTGGGGATCAGGGTTTAGCGTTCCGGGCTGAGGGTTCTGAGGCGCAGATGACGACACAAGA